CAAGTGCCGAATCAACACATTGTTGTGGTCCGGTCTTTTGCGAATAACGATCGCACATGAAAAAGTGGAAGAACCTTTGCCCTGCATTTGTTTTTATTTTTATTTAATTTTTTCCTCTGCCGTGGTCGTCGCGAATAATTCAAGATAGAGCTGGAATTAGGACGTAACCGCTTTTGTAAACAATGACTTCTTTCGATGATGCCTTGAAAGTCAAGACTCGCCCACGCAAATCACCATCACCATCAGGTAGGGTAAGACTTCCCCTAAGCGACGGTAATGTTGGTTTGCGTGGGCGTGGTTTGAAAAATCTGGTTTTGGGGTTTGCACACCCGGTTTGTTTTACGATTTGCGAACGTAAACAAGTTTTTTTTTCGGTTCGGTACACATGCATTAACAACATGTCGCATTTGCGGGTTGCCAAGGTTTTGCAAAAAGTCGATTGCAAACTGTGGAGAGACCTATTGACAAATCCATGTTTCAATCGACCACCGTGACGCTGCAATCGCAGCGGTGATAAGTTCGAAATAATGTGTCAAACTGAATACATTTTTGAAATTTCAACCAAAAAACTATTATTTTCTATTTATTCTAGCGAGTTTCTGTGGAAGTCAAAACATGATCCGAGCAAAAAAGTAGTACTCGTAATAATGGTATATAATGCTGAATTTTATCGTGCTTTGTTTCGAAAATATCTTCCAAATAAACAAACATCATCCAAATCACCCGAATCGTCCACCGACTAAATTTATTGTCACTTAAAAATTTATTTCAGTCGGTGTATTAATCAGCAGATTAAATCGTGTTTCGTCTGGTGCTACACCGAGCAATCGGCCTATTTAATAGTTTTTCGTCGATTGATTTAGTCGGCCAACTTTGTCTGTTGTTTAATCGGCAGATGATTTCAAACCTTAACATGTTTTCAGTAATTTATAAGTCTTGAAGTAGCTTTTTATTTAAGAACAATGCATTACAAAATAGTTTTATGCATTTTGTACAAGATTCGTCCATGCTGACAAGAAATTTTCATGAAATTACATTGAAATTAAATAATTTTGCAAACAATCAATGAAATTTTCAAGGGCTGTCACAGACTTATCACCGTCGGTTAGTGCTTATTCCTGCCACCAGGCGCGCATGAGTTTAAGTTGGATTTCTCAATCAAGGAACGGGTTTTAATCGAGGTTTTAATTGAATAATTTATCAGCGCCATCTATGATGCAATTATTTGCGGGGCTTCGCATGGTTACTTGGTGATCAAGATTGATTTGACTGATTCGAACACCTCGTCGAAATCTGTGGATAAGCAGCTCAATAATTAAGCAGGCATTAATTTATTGAACCTTTCGTTAACATTGTCGTCGTACTGCAACGAAGAAGTAACACATCATTTTGCCACGATTTCGAACGCTCTGTGAATTCGAACTGACCGACCATTTTTGTAAGTTTTTTTTTTTCAATTTGATGCTGCCATTGAGAAGTATAAATGAGTGGCTTTTTCACTTACAGCAATAAAGCTTTATGGCAATTGAAGAAGTGCTCAAAATACTCCATTACTACCCCTCTGCTTATTGCACCTCTAAATGTTGACTAGGGTAAATGTCGGCTTCGGCACCCATTGACTGTTTTCGGCAACCAAAATTTAAACGTTAATTTCACTATGTTTTCCCATCAACACACTTCCCTGAATGCATCCAAACGATTCTTTAGTCTTTCAGCTTCAATCTGATTGTATGTGTACGTCTGAGCAGTCCTGTTATGGCAGATTTTTATTCAAATGAAGCATACGTACTCTAAAATGGGGTTGATTTCAAGTTGCCGATAATAGAACAGCTGGTTAACACGCAGTTCTAATGGGAAGGTTGCCGAAGAAAACGAGGCTGCCGACAATAGTCACACTCACCTGAGAAGTTTGGAGCGTTGTAAAAACGCTTTCAAACAGTTTTTGAAGAATTCTGTCGATTAAAATGGATAGAGAAGCAAGCAGCAGATGAATGTAAACCAACAGACACGTCATATATGTGCGTGACGCTGAGAAAATGCTAATAGAAGTGTGGACACTGCTTAGATTGACGAGAATACGTAAATTCCCCTATATAATTTGAGAGAAAATCAGCTTTCCTTCGGAAAACATTAGCATCAGTAAACAGTATACAATTCTGACAGGTAACACCCGATCCAACCTCGGCGCTGTCAAACCGCTGTCAGCATGGTTGGATGATGCCATTCACTGAATCAGCAACAAACAAGTGTTTACTGTCCGTTGCGGGCCACTAATTAACCAGCCATTCTAATCTCTGCATAACACCGATGATGATCCATATTGGTATGGTGAAAGGCTCTGGCTTCATTTTCGGCTCTGATTGACCCCTCGGGCTGTGCATCGATAACCCCTTGCTTACGGTGTTTTGCGCGTGCACAGAACGCATCATATAAATAACATATAACCATAACTTTCCATCAATTCAGTGCCAACATTTCAAAGGGGCGTAATTGCATTTGTAAACAATGGCTTTAGCCGTCGGTTTCTCGCAAATAAAAGCTCACTCATGAAAATTAATGACACCAACAGGTAGAGGAATGTTTCCTCCACCAGTTAGCAATGTTAATTTGGAAGGGCGAGCTTTTATTTGCGATAAATCGACGGCTAAAGTCATTGTTTACAAAAGCCATTACGCCGTTTTGAAATGTTGGCACTGAATTTACGTCTCTGCGGTCTTATCTGAATGTCTGAAGAAGTCTGATGCAGAATGCAAAGAAGCGGGAGAGCTGCGAACGGCTGTTATCAGGGAGGCAAATGCGGCGTTTCAATACCGAGTCGCTGCAACATAATGTGGTTTCTGTTTTCTTTCCTCCACTAATCAGCTGTTTTCAAACGGGGAAGTTTAACAGCGCAGTTGGAATTTTCAGCGTTCTTATAGCACTACAGTAACTTGCGGCATACCTGCTGTACTGATGGTCAGAACTGTAGACAGCTCTGACACTGGACCACACCTATGACCAATAAAGGAGCAACTAATGTCAAGATTGGAGGAGGAGCTAGAAGTTTAAAATCAATAATTGAGATTATTGTGTTTATTGTTCAAAATACTTCAAACTTCAATTCAATGGTATCAGTTGGTAAATAACTTGGGGGTTCCTATTTTATATCAGCTTTTGTAAACAATGCATTTGAACATCGATTTGGTGTAACTGGTAGCTGTTCCAAGCATACTAACACCACCATCAGGTAGGGGAAAATTTGGTAGTGTTAGTACCGACAAACCGACATGAATGACCATAAAGGGTGATACGGTCAAAATTTGGTCAATATCAACTTGACGTATTTCTTTCAATTTTGCATTTAAAAAACCTAAACACCCCTCATTTTGAAGGTGTGTGTGTGTAGAATGTTGCTCCTATTTTGATTTTGGAATTCACTCTTCAGTTGTCAAAATGCCGTCCAAGCAAGAAGAGCAGCGTATCAAAATTTTGCTCGCGCATCGCGAAAATCCGAGCTACTCGCACGCAAAGTTGGCAAAATCGCTAAAAGTTGCCAAATCAACCGTTACAAATGTAATTAAAGTGTTTGGGGAACGTTTGTCGACAGCCAGGAAGTCTGGATCGGGGGGAAATCGAAAACCGGAAGCCGCTGAGACGACAAAGAGAGTTGCCGGTAGTTTCAAGCGAAACCCTAACCTCTCTCTCCGAGATGCCGCAAATAAGCTGGGTGTATCGTCTACAACCGTGCATCGAGCCAAAAAACGAGCCGGACTATCGACTTACAAGAAGGTAGTGACTCCAAATCGCGATGATATACAAAATACGACGGCCAAAGCGCGATCCCGGAGGCTGTACACGACGATGCTGACGAAGTTTGACTGCGTGGTAATGGACGACGAAACCTACGTCAAAGCCGACTACAAGCAGCTTCCGGGACAGGAGTTTTATACGGCAAAAGGAAGGGGAAAGGTAGCAGATGTTTTCAAGCACATGAAACTGTCAAAGTTCGCAAAGAAATATCTGGTTTGGCAAGCCATCTGTACCTGTGGCTTGAAAAGCAGCATTTTCATAGCTTCCGGGACTGTCAACCAAGAAATTTACGTGAAAGAGTGTTTGAATAAACGTCTGCTGCCTTTCCTGAAGAAACACGGTTGTTCCGTACTGTTTTGGCCGGATTTGGCATCTTGCCATTACGGTAAAAAGGCCATGGAGTGGTACGCCGCCAACAACGTGCAGGTGGTTCCCAAGGACAAGAACCCTCCCAACACGCCAGAGCTCCGCCCAATTGAGAAATACTGGGCTATTGTCAAGCGGAACCTAAAGAAGACCAAAAAAAAAACTGCTAAGGGCGAGCAGCAGTTCAAGGCAAACTGGCTTTCTGCGGCGAAGAAGGTGGACAAGGTGGCTGTACAAAATCTGATGGCAGGGGTCAAGCGTAAGGCCCGGCAATTCGGATTTGGAAAAGCGGAAGCCTAACTGAATATTTTTCCTGAATTTTATACTAATTGAACTTGAAAAAGAAATTTAATTTGATTTTTTAAATAAACGATTGCACCGATTTACACGCGTTTTCCCTTGACCAAATTTTGACCGTATCACCCTTTAGCAAAAGCATGAGCCCGGATGCAAAAGTTATGAATTATTTCGTGTCTGATCTATTCTAGATAAAAAATTCCTATGGTTTGACAGTTCGGATCACTGCACATTTAAATCGGCCGTTTACGATTTTCGGGCATACAAGTCAGAATTAAGTGTCATTTCGGTTTGTCGGTGGTGTTAGTATGCTACTAGTTACGCCAAATCGACGATAAAATGCATTGTTTACAAAAGCGGATACGTCCATTCGAAAAGTAATCGAGAAATATGCTTATTAACTAGTACCAAAACTGGCTCACCTACCCTATTCAAAGTGAGATACGTCTCTTTGTCGGTGCTATAACCATCATTCACCCCATGCAGTGTTGTTCACGAAAACTCACTAGGACTCGCGAACTCTTCCACCGCATTTTTGCACCATATTTCTAGGACTCCTCGTGTGGCAGAATATCATTTTCGTACAAGCTAAACCATATGCTGGAATACCACAGCAGTTGAATATCGTCTTCAGTTCCACCGATCAAGTGCCCTAGAAATTGCGATTCTGCATCCCTAAAAATCCAAAAACAAATCCATTTCAATATCCATGGCCCAACTCACCCAGCAACACTCACCCCGTCTCTTTTTCGATTAACGTCACGGTCCACCGCATCGAATCGGACTGGATTCGTCTGGTTTCATGTCCAAAATACGCCCGTACCTTCCTCAGATCGATCCGTTCGGTTTCGACACCATCGTTCAGAACGATAATCCCTTGATCGATCAACACCAACTGACTCATCCGCGTCAACTGGCTGTACTTGTTGGCAAAGTAAAGCTCGGCATATGCCATCATTCCCGGAGATTCACAAATGCATCGACGGATGTCGTTCAGGGTTGATATCGGTCGAATCGTTAGGAAGTTGTTTATGCAATCCTCTTCGGCCCATTTTGTCCACTTGTGAACAGCTGGTAGGACTGGTTCAGTGTGATGCAGAGGCCGAACCATCCGGTAGATACCGATTATTTCATATAAGGTCAGCTCATGCCATGGAATTTTGATTTTATCCGCAAGTTGCTTGCAGACGTCAGCGGCAGTCATTTCCAGAGTTAGCAATACACTCTGTTGAAGTTTATCGTTGGTACTTGTGCCATCGTCGATTGTGATCCATACCTGCAGACCGGAGGCCGATTTCACTAGACTTTGCTGATTTTCGTTGGCTTCGTAGATCTTTACAAGAGCGTGGAGCAACCTTGCTTCTCTGGATTGTTCCTCAGGGGAAACCATGAAGATGTCACTATAATGGATGATCAAGTCACTGATCATGTTGTTTTGATTTACACTATGCTGACCATCACTAATGGATGTTTGGAATTCAAAGCTAGAGAGTAGAGTTGCGCTCCAGATGGTGGTTAGGCCAGCAACTCCCATTTTGTTGTACTGATCTTGTGATGCGATGTGTTTGAGATGACCGATTACCATCTTTAGTGTGTTGTACGCGATCGCTGACAGTTTTGACAGGATTTCCTTGTAGAAGAGAACTCGGTCGGTAATGGATTCAACGGCCACGATGCTCACCAGCCTGACCGAGTAGGTTCCAAAGATCGAAGTTGGGCTGTCACGGATAAATTTCCTCAAAGCACTGGCAACGTCATGTACATTACACTCAAGACACGGCAACTGAACTTCGAATGCGTTCTTCTTGAAAGCGTCCAGTAGTGTGTTGACTTTGGTGAGGACTCCGGACACACGATGGATTCCTTGGGCTCGAAAGCCGTGAAGGTAGATGAAGTTGATGCACTTTTCGACCAATACAGGGACATCATTTTCGGTCAGTTGTTGACTCTCGAGGGTATCACCATTGTCACAGGACGATTCCTGGGTCATCTTGATCCAATTTTGAGTTTCATTCGCAGTTCCCATGATGAAGTACATCGAGTTGTACGGTGGACAGTCAATGAACATCGATGGACCAGTTTCTACGAAGAGGGTTTCGATTGAATCGTCAGACTGGACCTCCCGGATGCAACGAGCCTTCCTTAGATCCAACTGCTTCAATTGTCGATCTTGATCGCAGTATATATATAGGGTTCGTTTCACCAGTAGAGCCCAAGCTCCACTCCACACTCCTGATACAGAATTTCTTAGGTAACACCATCCAAATACGGTAAAATCCTTCAGACAATTTTCAGGAAAGACATTCGTCAGCGATTGGATTATCTTCGTTACCCAAGTGTCATAGTCGCTATTATTGCGAAATCCAAACGAATGAGATTGGGTTCGGAAGCGTACGTTTTGAATTCTATTGTTGGGACTTACCAACCCTGGATCAGATGGCTTATGTACCTTCTGCAGTCTCATAACAACCCGAAAGCACAGCATATTTTCGTTGTTCGTAGACTGTTTCATTTCGAACTTCTGTAAGCTAAGCATCGTCTGAAGGTCACACTTTATCTGATTTTGCTGCATGGTTACGTCTCGAAACACCTCCATGGTCTTGTTCTTCAGCAGAACCGACGTCAGAATGATCCCCGAATGGAACGCCAGACCCTTGTGTGTGATCGATTGATTGGTAAACGCAGGCTTGGCTACCATTTCGGATTGACGCCTAAGCGTTGCAAGCGACTGTCTCGGCACAATTAGTGTATTCTCATCTGCGCTTTCGTCCAACTTCGCATGTTCAGGTTTGGCTTCTAACTGTTCCACCGGATTCGATGATTGTTGTGAGTCGTCGTTATGAAGTGCCGAGATCGAGACCCGATCACAAACCGCCTTCGATAGAATCTCCTCAATGTCACCCGATGGATCGGAATCGCGAAGAACTACACTGGAGTGGGGCGACTTCGATGACGAGCAGTGCCCATATTTATCTCGTAGAGCTGCATCTAATTCCTCCATGTATCCATATGTTGCATCAAGATGATTGTTCTTGATTCTCGTCTTTCGATAGCTACACTCTTCCTCCACAAACGATTGGTTCAAGCCATCGTTCTCCAAAAATAGGTCCAGCACTGGGTAATCCATCGTAGGATTGAAGCACGTTCACTCGAGCAACGAAGAAACCGACTAAAACACATCCACCTGGCAAGATCGCACCACGAGGTATGAATTTCGCGATTTCAGATTCATTTTCTCATTTTAAACCACCGATATAAAATGCACTCCCTCCAACGCCAATGTTTCACGCTGAGCAACACATTTCGGCAAGGGTCGGTGTCAAGTTTAGCCAAAACTAAAAACATAGCAACAAACGAAATATTAATCCGGCTAGGGGTTTCCCCGATGAAAACTGGAATTCAGAGAGAAGAGGAAAGATATGTCACCGTCAATAAACGAAGCGGAACAGACTTTCAGCAACCATGAGCGAATGCGTGTCAGTGGACAAGAGCCGCAGCATCTCATGAATAATGCTAAAATTAATTATCTCAATGAGCACGTCTGCAGTATGCTATGGTATTCGAATGTAAAATTGGTGAGCTGTTTGTTTTGCGAAATAGTTAAGAACCCTGTATACGGTAAGAAAAAAACCCAACGACCAGTTCACTATTACCTACTTTTGACTAGTTTGTCTCCTTTTCTCCTTCTAATGTTGTCAACAACGGAGGAGCAAAACCGGAATTCGCATTCAAAAAGTATTTTTTTGTGACGATATAGTGTCAGGTTTTGAACGCCACGATATTGCTAAAAGACAATTACTTAACCTAGAGTCGGTGTATAATGAGTCACGCCAAGAGAAAAACAGTTGAACTCGTATCACGGTTTTCGGAAGATTCCCATTCTTTTCACTTGGCAACAGAGGACTTCTACAACAACTTCAAATGACTTCTAGCGAGAGAAAAAATATTGCGGCTGTAGTAAATCATTATATCAGTGATTTTGTCAAATTATCTTAACAAAAAATAGTAGAAATTCTTATTACTAATCATTACCGAGCGTATCCCATGACAATTTAACGCTCACTGCGTGTTTATGCTTATTTCTTCGATTATATTTTATATTTTATTGCAATACCTTTCGTGGACCTTTCATAGCATCGTAATGTTTATTTATTTTGCACGATAGGTAGCTGGTTTCACAGTTCAATAGGTAGACTTGGCTTCACTCTTGGCGTGACTCATTATACACCGACTCTAACTTAACCTTCATAATTCCTTTATGGAGACCAGGTTAAACTAATAGCTATTCAAAACAACTCTTACCGTCCGATCTCTATGGTATCATGTCTGAGGAAATTATTAGACAAAATGATCCTATCAAGATTTGACAAACAAACTGCTCTCTGTTAATAATTACTTTATTTGTACAGGCTCATGCAACCTGCTTTCAAATACGCAATTTGGTTTCCGAAAGAGTAAAGTAACAACCGATTGTCTAGCGATGCTTTCATCTGATATTCAACTGGCCTTGGAACACAAGGAGGAATTCGACAGTGAGCATGCATAAGGGCGAATACGTGATTATCGATTCTCTTCATCGATTTTCTCTTTGCATTGCTACAGCTAAGCGAGACAATTTTCTAGAATTTGTTCAATGCAGAGTAGTAACAGGTTTTATTGGCTATCAAAAGCAACAGCAAACGCACCGAGAAACGTTAAATCTAGCGAGTTATTAACAAAAGAGAAAATCGACGAAAAGAATCGATCATCGCGTATACGCTCTTATGCATGCTCACTGTCGAATTGACTTCAGTCTTTTTGGATATTAGACATATTGTCAGACAGTCTGCACAGTAGTGGATTACCCGATATTTTAAATAATTTCTTGTATCATTTGCTGTCTGAAAATTATACATCTGTATTGAGGTTGTTATTCGTAATCTGCATTAAAAAAGGAACCGAAATCCAAAATTTCATCAATCTTGGTACACTGGAACTATTTTAAATAAAAACGATTACATTAGCAAAAATCACCATCTGGTGGGACTTTGTATGGGAGTGAGCTGTCAACGAGCATGAGCATGAACATGATTGACCGCCCACGGTTGCTACTCTGTTACTGCCAGATCAGCTGTAATTACACAGCGAATCAATAGACGATGCTTGGGACTAGCAATCATCCTCAATGTGTAAAAACTGGTGATCTCAAACTAGGCAATACCAGAGCCGGCCGCGCCCGAACACAGGTCAAGAAAGGAATGGGTAGGAATGTGAAGACCTCATTAAACTATATAAAACGACTATTCTTTCAGTTCTTGGGTATGGATCTTTTTGCTTCCTCTCGGCAAGAAAAAGCCGTAAGCCGAACGTATTCAATATCGTTGTTTACGTATTGCCCTTGGCTATATGAATTCAACCCACAATATGAGTCTAGAGGTTCTAGCAGGAGTAAACCCCCTACATCACCGTTTCTGGGAGCTCTCATTAAGAGTATTGATCAAATCAAGCACAACATGTGAAAAGGGCATACAAGCTTTTTGTAAACAAACCTTTTTATGCCCTTTTTTCGCCACCCGTATGACACCAATGCAAACCTTTAATATCACCGGGTAGGGGAAACTTTTCCCTTCCCGATGAAATTGCTGGTTTGCGTGGGCGACCCTCGGTTGGCGAGAAAAGGGCCTACAAAGGTTTGTTTACAAAATGCTTGTATGCCCTTTTCACATGTGGCTCTTGAAATGTAGTGTAAGTAACAACCTTTTGATTGAAAACTTCGAAGAAATGCTTGAATTGAGCACCCTAATAAAAATAACCATAAAAGAGAGCTTAAAGACGTGTTTGGGGTATCATCAAAACCATTTGTAGGATAGTTTACCCATCCGGGATACAGTTCGTTTATGGTATTTGTTTATTAGGGCACCCAGTCTAGATTCGTGCAAATCTACCTTAATTATATGTCATCGGATATTAGCCTTCCGTCCTATAGCCCCCCTCGGGTACGCTTTACTAATTACAGTGCCCCCATTGACTATGACCTCTCCAAGAAACAGGCTATCCAAGGAGTTCCAGATTAACTTCGACCTATCTTAATTCCCCGTATTTTTGCTGAAAAGTACCAACAAGTCAATTGCAATAGAAGATTTTTCACTGATGGATCACGCATTGATGGATCCACTGATTTCGGTGTTTTCAATGAATACCGCCTTCCGGAAACTTCGGGAACCTTGTTCCGTTTATGTTGCTGAGCTAACAGCAATCAAATTCGTATTTTGGACGATTTCCGACATGCCCATACACCATTACTTCATCTTCTCGGATAGTCTCAGTTCTATTGTGGCCTTCCGGTCGAGGAAACCAGAGAGGCACTTACTTCCTTACAAAAACCAGGGTTCCGATGTGTGCGTTGATCGAAAGATCATTTAGAATTACCTTTGTATGGGTACATTGCAAAATTTCAGGCAATGAGAAGGCTGACTCTCTAGCAAAGGTGGGTGCTCAAGAAGGCGATTCACATGATTATTTTTTTCCCATATGTACGTCAGAGTTCTCTTCTAAGTTGGCAAAACGATTGGACAAGTAATTCTCTTGGGCGGTGGTTACATTCCATTATTCCAAATTTTTCTTCGAGAGCCTGGTTCAAAGGTCTGGATGTAAGTCGGGGCTTCATTCGCGTAATGTCAAGACTTATGTCTAACCACTACTCGCTAGACGCACATCTCTACAGAATAAACCTCGTCGACAGCAATATATCTAGGTGCAGTACCGGTTATGATGACATCGATCATGCAGTTTGGCATTACCCGGGCTACGACGCCTCCAGAGTACGACTGTTGGATACCCTAGTGGCGCGAGGTAGATAACCCTTCCATTTGCCCGTGATCTTCCCTACATGCAGGCGATCTACGGATTCCTTTGTTTGTCTGATGTTAGAGTTTGATGTGATCATTCCCTCCTTTCCAAACAATTTCCCGCTATTGTGTCGCAGTCTTGTTATCCTCCTGTTTCTGTGCTACTTGTCCCTGCCCAGCCAGCATTTGGTCAACCGTCAGAGAGAAGCATCTGAAGGAGGCTTAGGAAACCAGTTCCCTTCCTAGATACTTTCAATTGAAATTGTTACCCATTAAACCTCGAGCCCGCCACGCCTAATTGGTACCCAATACTAACCTAGATTTACTACTGTTTAAAATGTAAATTCAAACATTACTGATTTTCGGCACCGCAAAGTGTCAAACACGACTGAGCCTAGTAAATAAATTAACTTGCAACTTTGCCATTTAATATTGTGTGTGTTTGATTGAAAATCAAAAACAGGGCGCTGCACACAGTGGGACGAAATAATAAAAAAATATGGACATGGACATTTGCGACGAAAATATTGAGTACACGTGAGCATTTTGATGTCTTCTAGAATGTTTCTTCAATTATAGATACTTTATTGCAGTGGTGATTTTTTCGGCTTAAGGGTGGTATACACTAAGGGACCTATTTTTTTTATCCTTGATTTGTTTTCCGTCGATCTTGTTTTCCGTGCTGAGCACCAATGCTACCGACGTGCCAGGAAGGCAGCTCCCACACCTGGACCCTACCTATCGACCCATCAACTCATGAACCGGGGACCAACGGTTTTACTTCCCTTCTGAAGGAAGGCGTGATCAAAGATGTTATGCCTCAGAACATCCAGGACTAAGGGACCTAGATTGAGAATACGATACCAAATAACTTTGTCGAAGCTGCAACCCACTCTAATGTAAACACTTGGAAAGTGGTCATGAAAACAGCAAAACGTAACAAAACAAACTTTTTTAGAAAATTCATCAGGCATCCCCTTGTATCCACATATGAATTGTGTATGTAACAGTAGAGTAGGAGATGATGAACAAAATAACGTTGAGATTAACTGCTAATACCTGCTAACCTGCAAGACACACCCTCTTACAGATAGCGTCAAAAATATAAAAATCCTCAAAACAAAGAGTTAGCGATTTGTCTTTTGTAGGAAAAATGTGCATCTTTAGAGCACTTACAACTTTGTAGAACATTGGAAAAAAATAAAAATTCAAACTAAAAAGGTTTTTAAGGGGGTACTAGCGTTGTACTCCATTTTCACCCTATAACTTCGTCCACTTGAGAGATGGAAAATTGACGTCT